AAGAGAGGGAGGGAAAAGAAAAGGAAAATGAGGGGCAAAAGTGAGAAACCAGAGGGAGGACCATGGGTGACCCATTCTAGGCACTGGGCAAAGATGAACAGGGCATAAACCATAGTCACAACCAAACCAGAGCAGGAGAGCAAGACCTACCTGCTGCTTGGGTAAAAGCAACCTGCCACAGGACGGGGTCGCAGGAACGATCAGTAAATGTTCATACGGAACTCAGAACGTGTTATTCTGTGACTGCACATCAGCACGCACGCACTGTGTGTGTGGAGGAGGCTGTTCCACAGCTTCGGTACATCCTGCACCGACCCCTCAGAAGCTCCTCGTCGGGGCCAGAGCGATAGCACAGCGGGTAGAAGTTTGCCTTGCACGCAGCTGACCCGGGTTCGATTCCAACCATCCCATATGGTCCCCCAAGCACCGCCAGGAGTAATTCCTGAGTGCAGAGCCAGGAGTAACCCCTGAGCATCGCTGGGTGGGACCCAAAACAAAACAACACAAAACCAAAAAAGCGATAAATAAATAAATTATTCCTACTTTGGACAGACTGGCAGGCTACCGAATGTAGCCTGCCCACACGGCAGAGTCTGGCAAACTCCCCGTGGCGTACCAAACATGCCAAATACCAGTAACAATGATGGGTCTCATTCTCCCAAAGAGCCGTGAATATAATCTCAGGGCTAGGATGAAAGAGACGTTACTGGGGCCTGCTCGAGGCAATCGACGACTAACAGGATGATTTATGATTTTTGTGAAATAAAGAGAATCTCCATGGGAACAGTGCTCATGGTCCAACCATTCTGGCGCAGTCAGGTCACGTCCACTCACATGAAACAAAACTTGGCCCTCCCTCTACTCTCTCAAGCGGCTGGGACTGGATCTTGGTCAGACTTCCATAACCCAAGAGCGCTCGAAGGGTCAGGTGGTATCTGGGTATCTGGGTTCAAACCCTCACCGGAAGCAATAGTCCAGCAGGGAGGGCACTCGCCCCGCAAGAGGCCAGCCCGGGTTCAATCCCCAGCACCCCCCGGGGTCTCCTGAGCCTGCCCCGAGTGATCCCTGAGCTCAGAGCCAGCAGTGAGCCCTGGGCGCCATCGGGTGTGACCCCTAAACAACTGAAGACCCGGCATACGCGAAGCACACGCTCAACTCTGGAGTACCCTGATGCTGTGTCCGGCTGAATGTCTGTCCCCAGACTGCCCCCCGCCCCCAGAGGACAGAGGCCTACCCCACAGGCGGCCAGCGTACTTCCGGGGCCTGACAAATCCCTGCAGGCGAATGGGTGAGGACAGGGCACGGGCGCTTCTTTCTAGAGCAGAAGTCCCCAGCGGTGGCTTGTGGCTCCCGGCCACCATTCAGGCTCCTTCTGTCCCTGCTGCCTCCAAGCTGTGCTCAGAACCCAGGTCGGTCCCGGGACCCATTAGACAAGCCTTCTCTCGTCGCTCTTCCTCCTCTTTCCTTCCTTCTGGAGACCCCAACACTTCCTGAAAGGTTTCTTCTCTTTTTGGTTTTGGGGATATACCCAGCAATGCTCAGAGATCACTCCTGGCAGGCTCGGGGACAATGAGGGACGCCAGGGATCGAATCCGGGTGGGCCATGTGCAGGGCCTGTGTGAACCCTCCCTGCTGTCTTGCTTCTCGGGCCCCTTCTGAGAGGTTTCAGCCTGTGGTGGCTGGCTCAGCATCCATCACTTTCTTCCCCATGTCACTTTTCCTGTCTGGGAGGCTTTGCCACTGATGGGGTCTCACAGCTAAAGGAGGAAAAGGCAGCCCCGAGGGCTTTGTCTGCTCCCCTGCATGTCCCCGGCCCTCCCCGGCAGCTCCTGTCCGTGTCCTTCCATTGGTGAAAATCAAAAGGGTGACTAAGAGACGCGCAGGGCCGTGAGCAGAGCTTCCAAGCCCATGGCATCCCACCGATTTCAAACACTAGGTCGGCTTTAGCTCCCTGTCGACGACAGAGAAATTCAGGACCGATTTCCAAAAGGGGGCCAAACACAGAAGGCGAATTTCACCAGAACCGGCTGCCACCAAGGCCAGGGGCCTGGTAACGGGGATTTCTTCTCAGACACACCAGCAAAGGAGTAGAAACGGACACTTCCCGTCCAGTTCCGCCAGGAAACAAGCTCCTTGGGGGCCGGCTTCCCAGCCAACTCCACACGTGCCCCTGTCCGCTGTGTCCTCGGAGAGGAAACAGGGAGCAAGCCACGTGGGTGTCCACTCAGCTGCCCTCCCTCCCCCAGTCAGAGGGAGGAAGGGCGGGAAGACGCTTTATCCAAGGGATGCAAAGGGATTGCTCTTTTTCAAGCAAATTGGTCCTTGGGAGCACTGCACTCTGGCACTGTCCTCCCGTTGTTCATGGATTTGCACGAGCAGTCATTAGTAACGTCTCCATGGTGAGACTTGTTGTTACTGTGTTTGGCAGATCAAATATGTCACAGGGAGCTTGCCAGGCTTTACCGTGTGGGCGAGATACTCTCAGTAGCTTGCTGGGCTCTCTGAGAGGGGTGGAGGAATCGAACCCGGGTTGGCTGCATGCAAGGCAAACGCCCTATCCGCTGTGCTATTGCTCCAGCCCTGCTATGGTCCTTGGTAAAAAAAAACAATAATCAAATCTCTGCCTTCTTGTGTTTTGTTTGGCGGCCATATCCAGTGGGGCTCTGGGTTTATTCCTGGTTCTGCACTCAGGGATCACTCCAGGGCAGGGTTTGCGGGTCCATATGGGATACTGGGGATCCAACCCAGCTCAGACACATGCAAGGCAGGCGCGCTACCCACTATGGTATCTTTCCGGCCCTCTCTGCTTTCCTTCTCTCCTTCCACTCCCCACCCCCACCCCCACACCGGTTAATTCTGTGTTAATACAGATTAACACCAGAGCAATAGCACAGCAGGTAGGGCGTTTCCTCCGCCCCTCCTGGAGAGCCTGGCAAGCTACCAGGCGTATCCCTCCCCCACGGCAGAGCCTGGCAAGCTCCCCCGCGGCGTGTTTGCCAAAAACAGTAAGGACAAGTCTCACAATAGAGATATTACTGGTGCCCGCTCAAGCAAATCAATGAACAATGGGAGGACAGTGCTACAGCATTACAGTACAATTCTGTGTTAACCCATCAAATATTCTCAGAAAAAGATGCCGCTTGTTGAGTCTGTATCCCAGGCACTCGTTGGAAATACTTAGAGTCATCAACAGTTGGTGACCAACAAATTTAATTTGTGATGTGGCCTTTTACGAAAGCTGCCGTGAGTTCAAAGCTGCCATATCCCTTCTCCCTTCAGGCTCTGAGATGACCAGCCCCCCTCCCGGACTACGGCAGGTGTAAAAGGCTAACGATTATATTCTGTCCAACAAGTATTTACCTTGCAAGGCTATTCTGCACAAAGTGCTATTCAGAACCAGCGCGAAGGGAAAATGTTCTCACAGTCTAGCCCCTGTGGCCAGCAGGATCTGATCCCCTGCATTGCATATGGTTCCCAGGGTCCAGCCGGGAATAAGTTCTGCATGCCACTGGGCGTGGCCCCACAGCGAGCCAAGGAAAAGCCCGGCTTCATGCCTCATTGGAGAGGCGGTCAGGTGGGGTTATATCTATAACCCATATTGCACTAGCCCATCAGCTCAAAACTAACTGACATGTAAAATTTGTCAACTTTTTTTTTTTAAGTGAGGAACCATAATTTACAAAATGGTTCATAAGAGAGTTTCAGGCATATAATATTCCAACAACAATCCCAGGGTCAGTGTCAACTTCCCCCCACCAGTGAAAATGTTCCGTATGATTGTGGAGTCAGGGGTGGGGTACCCTCACTCAGAGCCCCCCAGGGCTGTATCTGGTGGGGCACAGAGGCCCAGGGTTCAAAACACGCAAGGCTTCTCTTAAGTCACAGCCCTACCCAGCTGAAAATGTGTTCTGAAGTTAACCCTAGCCCCAAATCTAGACATTTTTTAAAGTGTTGTCTAAAGTCTCATTTCAAGTAGAAAGTTGTTCCATTATTCACTGAAACATCAATTTTACATTCCCTTTGATGAACTAGAAGGAAATAAATGACAGCAGAAAAATAAAGAGAAAAGTAGATTTTTAAGGACACAGTGACAATGTAGAACCCTGGCTGGCAAGGGAGGCTGTCTGTGATAGCTGCAAAAAAAAAAAAAATTCAGCTTTGTAATTCCTAGATAGTTGACTGCTTCCACTTTGACAAGAAAATTGGCAAGGACCCCTTGGCTTCTTTGAACAGCTTTCTCTATTTGAGATGAGAATTTCCTTGACCCTAACAGCAATTACACTGAATACTGGCTTCGTAGAAACTGCAGCACAGCACGGGGTTGAAACAGGGACTTTCAATAAGACCACAAGTTGTGCTTATATTGGTAGAAATTAATTGCCCGTTCCCGGTCTTTCTCTCCTCTGCCCCCATGCTGTCGAACTAGACATTAATCACAAAAGCACTGATGTAATTAATATACTTTAGCTGGGGGCCAATAGATCACATTTTCAAATAACAGTAAACAAGGAAGGAAAAAAAAGTCTCTTAATATCAAAACTTTAGAAATAACTGTCTATCCTTAAAACGCAACCATTTCACAAATTGTTCCCTCACTTACATTTCCAATAACTAACTTATTAAGTTGAAAAAAAAAAAACCAAACATCTATAACCTCAAGTGGAGTTCACTGGGTGTCAGGATAAACACTTAAAAAAAAAAATGTTCCAGCCATGCCCACCTCATGCCAGCAAGGGGCTTGTTTGGCATCGATTTCTGGAGGGGGGGGGGCAACGGGCCCATTTTTAAGTTCTCCTCTTCCTAAAGAAAAATCCCACTTCCCCCAACGAAAGACTGGCGTCGGGAACATTTTTTTTTCCCTCCTTGAACCGTCTTCCAAACCCAGGCATCATCGCTCCCAGATGGAAAGGCACGGACGAAGAAGCAAGGAGGAGACCCCTAAAGTGACCGGAACCCTCTTGGCAAAACAAACAAACCAACAAACATGCAAAAAGCGTTACCTTGGGCCTGGTCCTGAGTCCTGCCCTTCAGGCATTTCTGCCCTTTTGAAAACCAGGAAGAAAGCAGCCCAGAAGGTGGCCACCAGCTCCCCGGCTTCTTCTCCTCCTCGGGGCCCAGATGCCAAGGGTGCCTGGCTCCTTCCCTGTCCGAGAGAGCACGCCTACCCGCACTGGCCCGCCCGCCCCGGCCGGCCCTCAATGAAGGGGAGCGCCGTGTTCTTATGACTGCCCCCTGCTAAAAATAAAGAGGTCACCTCTTACTCCAGCGCTGTGCCGGCCAGGCCAGCCGCGGCCAGGGGAGGTGGCGCCTCCCGGCTGCTAACCTTTCTGGGGATGACTTCACCGGCCCTCTTCCCTTTTTCTCCCCAGCCACCGCTGAGGGGACAGGTTGTGTGGTCACAGGCTGCTGGAAACTTCCGCAGGGCTATTAGGTGTCCCTCGCCCTCCCCCAAGGAACTGGCTCTCCCGGAGTGAAGGGGCTCCCTGGGGCTCGGTGAAACCTGACTCCCAAGGGAGGGGGAAAAAGTGAGTGATTGTGTTCCGAGGGACACCGCTGAGCCAGAAAATCTTTCTCAAGTCATCCAGATTTCCCTCAACAAGGCACCTGCAGTTGGGGACCCGGGTCCATCCCTGACATTGGCCAAGCGGAGTGTTCAGGGTCGGTTCAGCGTCCTCTCTAGGAGAGATCTCTCCTGGCTGTCACTTGGAAGAGCCTGGCTTCTACCTTAGGAGAGGCCAGGAGGATATCGCTCAAATGCCTTTAAGAATTACACCCGGAATGTTTTGCAATAAAAAAAACAAACAAACTTGAAACCGCCACAGGTTGGAGAGACGGACAGATGGTGGAGAGGGGGCCTGCCTTGGGTAACCCCTGAGCACAGCCGGGTGTGACCCCCCACACAAAAACAACAAAACCTTGAAAACCTGGAGTCGGAGAGAACTCAACAGGACGGCCTGTGGTTCAGGGGCAGAAGACCCACGTTCCTGCCCCCACACCACGTGGTCCCCTGAGCACCAGTGGGGGGTGAGCTCCAAGGAGGACAGGAGCGGTCCCTGAGCACCTCTGGGTGTGCTCTGCCCCCTACCAAAACACACAAATCAAAAACCCACCAAATGGGGGAGTGATAGTACAGCGGGGAGGGCGTTTGCCTTGCATGTGCCAACCTGGGTTCAAACCCCGGCATCCCATAAGGTCCCCCCGAGCACCACAGGGAGTAATTTCTGAGTGCAGAGCCAGAAGGAACCTCTGAGCATTGCTGGGTGTGACCCAAAAAAGGAAAAAAAAACACCAAAACAAATAAATGAGTTAATAAGTCAACATTTGAAACCACCTTTTTTCTTATTGGAAGCATTAAGTCAGACAGACACTAAAGCAAGATCTGATGACTCAGTAACAACTTGCTTTTCTTTTTTCTTTTATTATTATTATGATGATGATGATGATGATGATTTTTTTTGGGGGGAGCCACATCCAGCTGTGCTCAGGGCTCAATCCCTACTGCACTCGGGGATCACTCCTGGCGGGGCTCGGGGAGCCCTTTGGGGTGTCGGGGCTCCGACCTATGTCCGCTGCCTCCCAGGCTGTACTATCTCTCTGAGAGAGCTCAGGAGGCTGGAACACAACTTCCATTGCCGGCAATTCATGCCCTCCCCATCCCATATGGAAAGGGAATATCTTCAAGTACCACAAGCCCCCCCCCACCCGCCCCAAACTAAAATACATAATGTGTGTTCTACTGACACGTGACTCCTTATCCTAGCCATGATCTCTAGTATTGACATTTCAAAGTGATTGAGAATGTTAAAGAGCTGACAAGTCAAAAAAAATAACATGTCAATGTTAAATAACATGTCAATATTCCTGCAGGTGGTTATTACAGGTGAATGAGACCAGTTGTAGTTACTGGCATCCATGAGACGGATGTAGTTCTGACATCCGTCGACGATCAAGAATCAGGGACGCTGTCTCGTTTGCCAAGGTGTCGAAAATCAGATGGGCTGGTCACGTAATGAGATTTAAAGACGGCCGCTGGACTAGAGCTGTTACCGACTGGATTCCACGGGATGTCAAAAGACCGCGTGGCCGCCCACCTACCAGATGGTCAGACTTCTTCATCAAGATCGTGAACCATCGGTTTGAGGCCCTTCATGTTCCCGGAGCGAACAGAGGCCATTGGGCTACACTAGCACGCGACAGGGACAAGTAGAGACGTTGCTGGCGCCCGCTCGAGCAAATCGACGACTAAAGGGAAGTTAAGTGATTTAGTGATTTAAGTGGCTATTACACGTGATCCATGCATTCCCCAACTGAAGCAGTTTTTTGGTTTTTTTTTTAATTGTAGGGGATGTGTCGGAGCACTCCTGGTGGTGCTCTGGGGGACCCCCAGGTGCCTAGTCTAGAATCCAGGTCTGCAGACAAAGCCTGGTGGCAGCCCTTCAACCCATCTCCCTGGCCCTGGAAACAATTCTTCAATATCGTATACGAGATCTAAGGTAATGACTTCAACGTGGAAGCTGAAGAGGGGAAAAAACTCCCCACTCCACGCCAAGCCCACTGACCCTGATAGAACACGGACCCCAGTGCCCTGCAGACAGGCATGGAGCCTCGGAGCGGTCAGACAAGGCCCTGGATGACGAAGGCGGTGAGTGGGAATTATAACGTCGCAGCTCCAACAAATATCCTCAGCGAAAGTGTGTCAAGTAGATACATTGACCCTCATCAGGAAAGGGGCCTGAGAGACAGCATGGAGGGGAGGACGCTTGCCTTGCACGTGGCCAGCCCAGGATTGATCCCTGGCACCCCCTAGAGCCCCCCAAGAAAGCCCTTGAGAAGGAAGCCCTGAGCCCTGCCAAGTACCTTAACACCCCCGCTCCCCGTCAAAAAATATCAAGAAATGGGGGCAGAGCAATAGCACAGTGGGTAGGACATTTGCCTCGCATGCAGCTGACCCGGAATCGATTCCCAGCATCCCATATGGTCCCCCGAACAACACCGGAAGTAATTCCTGAGTGCAGAGCCAGAAGGAACCCCTGAGCATTGCTAGGTATGACCCAAAAAGCAAGAAAATCATCACCATCATCATCAGGAAAAAGTAGGGAATTCTCAGGTCAGAGAGCCAGCTCAGAGGACTGAGCACAGGCTTTGCAAGCAGGAGGCCTGGGTTCGACTCTAAAGCAAGATCTGATGACTCAGTAACAACTTGCTTTTCTTTTTTCTTTTATTACGATGATGATGATGATGATAATGATAATGATGATGATGATGATGATTTTTTTGGGGGGAGCCACATCCAGCTGTGCTGGGGGTCCAGGCCCCCACCCTTCCTAGTACAGTCAGTTGGGAGGGGCTCCCAGCACGACCTCTTGTGACCCCCAAACAAAAACAAAAGAGTCATTCGGTTAGCAAATGCTCTCAGTTCTGACAGTTCCATCCCATGGACTCCTGTGCGTACCACTGGTGGCTCACACTTGAATGTGGTTTAACTGACACCAACTGCCGGGCAGGGCAGCACCGGCACTCCTCTTCCCTTCTCCTCAGCTCCCATCCCACCAGTCCTGGGCCACCTCCACGGACAACGAGAGCTGTTCCGGGACTTGGCTGCAGAGACCACAGAATGGGCCCCGCGACTTTTTATATTTGGGGGCCTGGGGTCACGGGTTAACGCTCAGGGCTGTTCCCCAGCAGCAGTGTGAGGAACTGTGTTGTGCCAGGGACCCGACCCAGGCCTCCTGGGCTGGTGGTGGTCCATGCGAGGGTCCAAGGATGTGTCAGTTACCCGGACCACCCCTGAGGTGTTCGGGGTCCTCCAGAGCGACACCCAGAGGGGCCAGAGCAATAGCACAGCGGGGAGGGCATTTGCCTTGCACGCGGCCGACCCAGGTTCAACCCCCGGCATCCCATATGGTCCCTCCCCCAAGCACCGCCAGGAATAATTCCTGGATACAGAGCCAGGAGTAACCCCCTGTGCATCACTGGGTGTGACCCAGAAAGAAAAAAAAAACAGAGCACTCAGAGATGGTGCCAAGATCAGACCAGGGTTGGCTGCATGCACAGCATGTGCTGTAGTCCCTGTACTACCCTCCGTTCCATCACTGCAGCCCCCATCAATCTGTCCACTTGCAAGAGCAGATGAGTGATGAGTGGAGTAACCGGGGAATCGCCCACTAGTTCCACAAGGCAGTGCTGAGAGGCTTCCTGAGAAAGCACGCGTGCGCACAGGGCCAGACGAACTTTTCCCCAGCCAAGCCTCTCTGGCGCGAGCCGACGCTTATTTCTCTGTGCTCTGTCTAACCATGTTCTCCTTCTACTTGGGGCCAACCCTAGTGGGGCCTCGAGCCGTTGGGGCCTCCTTCCCAGTGCTCAGCCCAGCACAACTCTGCCTCCTTCTGGGCCCTTGTGTGCCCCTAGGAGCTTTTTAGTCTCAAGACCCAAGCCGAGAAGGCAGCCAGGCCCTGGGCCCAGCCTCAGCCACTGACTGACAGACCCCGGGCGAGACCGGGACTGTGCCCACCCACACTTTCTGTCTTCTCTCTTCCTGCTAGCTCATCTCCCAGTTCTTTAGGGGGCCACACCCAGCAGTGCTCTGGAGCTACTCCTGGCTCTGCACTCAGGACTCACTCCGGGTGGTGCTTGGGGGACCATCTGGAGTGCCAGGGATTGAACTGGGGTCAGCTGCATGCAAGACAAACACGCCCTCCACACCGTGGTCCCTCTGGTGCCCGCATCCCAGAATCTTAAGTCACTCAACGGTTCAGCCCAAGTCTATCCTTCTAGCCAGACCCAGTCCAGAATTCTAACCCGTCTATCCTAGCCCCCACTAGCTGCCTCTAACTAGGTCATGAAAACTGGCAGTATCACGGCCCACTTCACGTGGGTCCAGTGTTATCAAGCGGGTTTGAGGGCCAGAGATAGAGCACAGTGGGAAGGGAGCTGGTCTTGCACACAGCTGATCCAGATTTGATCCCCAGCACCATCTATGATCCCCCGAGCCCCGCCAGGAGTGATCCCTGGACACAGAGCCAGGAGTATGCCCTGAGCACTGCTGGTGTGTGGACAGCCCAAGAACCACTGGGCAGGAGAGAGAGTATAGTGGGGAGGGTGCTTGGCTGGCACGGGTCAAGGCAGGCTCGATCCCTTGCAAAAAAAAAAAAAGTGATCTC